GGGAGCGGAATCCATTTGTTACCAGCCTATTGATAGAAATCCTTGTGTGATATAGAGAACAAGTGAAAAATCTTCATAGTACATAGGTAAAATTATTTTGAACTTGGGCATCATTATTCTGACAAAATCTGAGGGTAAACTAAAGACAATTTCAGGAATGCAAGGACTAGAAAAGGTTAAACCAAGCTTTTCTGAGTAAACTTGGGTATGTACTTCAGAAAAAAAAAATAGTTGCAGAAAATCAAGAGGTAGAATTGAAAAGCCACTATGAGTGGACTTCAGACAGTAGTGTTATAAATTGCATAATAAAGTTAGCAAGCAAGCATTCTCTTTTGGAAAAAGGTATCTGGGATAAATAGAGTAAAACAACATACAGAATCCATGAGAAGGTATAATTATGTAGGCAAATCATTATCCAATAGAAAAGGCAGGCAATTAATACACCACAAAAATTATAAGTTGTTTTATAATCTATGTGATTAAAATATGAAATCGACTCAAATATCACATGGATTTTCATTATTAACAGAGAACAGAACAAAGTTCATTAGACTTTGACACTGGCTATCTATATTCTCACAAATGGCACAGGAAATATATTTACACTGCCTTGACAAATTTTACATAATCAGTACACTGTAGACTTTTTGTTAAAGATTTTATTTATTTGAGAGAGAGAGGAAAAGAGAGAGAGAGCACGAGTTGGGGGAAGGGCCAGAGGGAGAAGAAGAAGCAGACTTCCCCGCTGAGCAGGGACCATCCCAGGACCCTGAGATCATGACCTGAGCCAAAGGCAGACACTTAACCGACTGAGCCACCCCTGCTCCCCCACTGTAAAGACTTTTATTTTGATTTCAACATATAAGATCCACCAGTAGATAGTATTAAATAAATGTGTGAATAAGATGGTAGTGCAAAATGTAAAATTCAATTAATAGATGACAAGTTTGGGATGTGGGACTGGGGACAGCCACGTGAGTAGAAAGGTAGGGGCATTAATATTCTCCTTTCACAATTAATTAATACTGTCACAATTGTCTCCATTCACAATTAATAGATACTGTCAAATGTTGATAGAACTCCAAGCAGGGGCTAATAATGACATTGTAAGACTGAAATATAACCAATAGGAAAAAAGTACTATTTGCTCTAAAATACTGAAATGGGTGGAGAAGAAATAAAATTGAGAATAGTATAAGAACACTGAGTACTCATTTTTCTTACTGGGGAAAAAGAGACATGATACAAACTTGATAGATGATACACTGAAGTATAAACATGCAACTTAAAGTTGTATCAAGGATTAGCTTCTCAAAATGACAACTTGGTAAAAAAATATATATACCTTACTTTATTCTCCTGGGGTATATTTTATGTTACAGAATCATCCTTGCTACAGAATTATATAGTAAGGGGCTGAAAACAAAATAGATCAACATTTTATGAACATAACTTTAAACTCTACATGTTTCTCCTTATTTAAAATCCTTCATATTTTTGTGTTTATTGTTTTGCTTTATTGAAATGAGCTGTGAATCATCTTTCCTTTTGGGCACTAAAAGCATACCTTTATTTCTGACTAACTTCGCTAACAATGGTAACTTCAGTTGAGCTCTGTACTTTCCATACTTCTGCAATCAAGAGCTTGGTCCATATTTACCATGTGCATCACTTGGGAGTTGACCTACCACACTTATTGCTCACCATGCAATGTTCATGCTCAATTCAGGCTTATTTTATGAGGGGACATTACCATGTCCTTTTTTTCAGAGTCACCATCTGTTTCTCCTCTCTCCCGAAAGCCACTCACTCTTCTGCCAGGAAGGGACACTTCCACCCCCCCTCTGAGGCATCTTCTCAGCAAGCAAACCTGATACTCTCTTTTCTATGACTTTTCCTCCCACAACACTGGCACACAAGTGCTTGCAATGTGGAGTCCGGAATAGAAGCCATCAATTAGGAAAAAAAGCACCACTCCCCACTGGACTAAAGAATGAGAAAGAAAAAAAAAATGTATAAGAGAGAAATTTTGAAGCTAAGATGACATGATTATCCTGCAGGGTGATAACTTTCTCCCTAAATTAAATGGAAGGAAGAGAAGAGGCTTTAGGAGTACAGGATTTAATGACTATACTTCAGACTACCCTAAGGATTCAGAGTGAAAATTGTTAAGCAAAGCCACCTGGGTTTAACCATAAGAAACTAAAAATAAAGAGTGTCTACTGTGAAGGGATTAAGTAAAACAATGGTGGGTGACTGAAATAAAATAGGGTGCAGATTAGTAATGAAATGTTTGAATAATCATGTTGCTGCCTTTGAGTTGATCTGTAAGATCATATTTAAAACCTCTGAAGATTTAAGGGTAAAGACATACGAGATACCAAAGAGAATATAAATAACAAAACATGAAAACTGAATCTAAATACATTTTGGTCACTAATTTTACTAGAGCCATGTGAATACACACACACACCTTTCAGATTATTTTTAAAGATTTTTTTATTGATGTATAACTGACATACATTATATTAGTTTTCAGGTATATGATGTGGTTGGACATTTGTACATATTGTGAAATGACCACGGTAATAAGTCTAGTTAACATCCGTTACCACACATGTAGTTACAGAATTTCTTTTTCTTGTGATGAGAACTATTTAAGATTTAATCTCTTATCCACTTTCAAATATGCAATACAGTGTTACTAACTATGGTTGCCAGGCTGTATATTAGATCCCTGGGACTTTGTTTAACAGGAGGCCCTGACATTTTTAGTTTTGAAGAATCAAAATGCACCATGATACGGTTTTGACAGAACAAGCCTACTACAGGATGATTATAATTTCAAATAAAGAAATATGAAACTTAGAGCAATGAAAGCATATCCTATAAATGTATGTAACTCCCATTTTACACTCAGCTCAAAAAGGATGGCTTGTTTACTGTTTTAAAATCTTCTGAAAGTACGACTGTCAAATCTGAGGGGAAGATATGTCATAACTTAGCCACACAGACCCTAAATGTATAGCTATAAAAGTGACTTTAGAGTGTGTTATTCTCCCATGTGATTATATATTCCCTGTATTCCCCTAACAGGAGAGAGCTGAAACACCTTCGTTACAAAATGACACCATATTTGAAATACATATCTGGTGACACAGTTTTTAGGAAAACTCTTTATCATTGCTTTTCACAAACAGCCACAAAATTACTTTCCTTTTTAATCCACCAGCTTATACAAACATTGAAAGAAAACCTTCACTGTGTGTCACCTTAACGCATTTTTGACAAAGGAAGCTTTAGGGGCAGCCTGTTTCTGCTTTTACATTATAAAGGTGGCATCACTAAGTATCTGAAAAGATCAACGGAAATGTCTGGAATATACAGTTTAGCAGATATGCTTCTTGTGCTGAATAATTCTGTTGTTTAAAAAACCAGGATGAATGGATACTATTTATCTGAACGTCAAAGGGCATGGTACAATGGGAATGTACACATGAAAAAATAATCAAAAGCTAATACACACACATGAACGCACTCATCAGATTAAACTAACATGTTCCAAGAAGGAAATTTCTTCATAACAGAACTTTCTTTTTAACTTGTGAGAATCATAATAAAACCAATTTGAATGCCCCAGAATCAGCATGCTAGAGAAATTTTAAACCAGCTCTTCAAAAAGTTATGATATATATATATGATTATTATATATTTTCTTACATAAACAATGGGCAGCCCACACTTTCCATCTGATAATAAAATGCAGTAGTTTATATTATAAATTCCATTTTGTTAATTGTCTCACATAGAAGGCTTCGATTAATTTTTGCCAAATGCTTGCATCCTTAAACAAAGTACGGTTGTGATTTATGAGTGAGTAGAGTCACAACATGAACGTTGGTTGGTATTTTCTTTAACAGTAGAAAGAAAGACAAAAGTTTCATAGAATGCCATTATAGAATATTTCCACCCTCCAGACACATGGATGCAAATAACTTCAAGAGCATAGAAAATGGTCAAATTAGTTAAATAGTAATTGATATATTCATTATTTGTTATCTTTGTTTTTGTAACATTCATTTAATTTTAAGTCCTATATAATATACTTCATAATAATGGCTATGTATAATAACTGACTCATGATTCCTGAAAATTTAATGGTCGACCCTTCTGGGGTCAGAGTCAGTGCCAGCACAGCACAGGTCTGAGTAAATTTGATTTTTTGTTTTGTTTTGTTTTGTTTTTGTGGAGAAGTCAGGGCTTTCTACTACTGGGTATCTGGAAAAGAGGCAAATGATGACTGAAATCTGATCTTTTTCAAATGTCAATATGTTACATTATTGGCAAAGAGGAATTGGGAGTTGCAGCTGGAATCAATGTTACTTATCACTTCCTTACAACAGGGAGATTATTTTAGATTATCTGAATGGATCCCATATAATCACATGAAATCTTAAGAAAAGGAATAGAAAGTCAGAGGGGGATAGACAATGGAACAGGTCAGAGTGATGTAATGTGGAAAGAACAAGCTACTGTTGGCTTTCAGGATGCAGGAAAGAGAGTACAAGCAAAAGAATTTCATGGCCTTACTGTTAGAAATGGCCCTCAGATGACAGCCAGTAAAAAAATGAAGACCTTGGTCCTACAACCTCAGGGAATTGAATCCTGACAATATCCCAAGTGATTGGGGCGCCTGGGTGGCTCAGTTGGTTAAACGACTGCCTTCGGCTCAGGTCATGATCTTGGAGTCCCAGGACCAAGTCCCGCATCGGGCTCCCTGCTCGGCAGGGAGTCTGCTTCTCCCTCTGACCCTATCCCCTCTGATGTGCTCTCTCTCTCAAATAAATAAATAAAATCTTAAAAAAAAAAATCCCAAGTGATCAGGAAACACATTTTCTCCTAAAACCTCTAGAGAGGATCACAGATCCACCTGCACTTTGATTTTACTACAGGGTAACACTTACTGAATGTCTGACCCACAGAACCATAAAATAATGAATTTAGTGGCTTAAATTTGTATAATTTGTTAAGGCAACAATAGAAAACTAGTTCAGTTACGGAGAATTTTAGCCTCAATGCTATTTAATTAGCAATAATCGCGCCTTGGATAAACCTCATCGGCTACGATACTGCCACTGCGCAAAGCTAGCCTCAATGCTATTTAAATGTTTTGAAGTAATACATTTAATTTTTATAACCAGCGTTGAGATATTTTACAATGTATTTAGTTATCATTTGTTCTTTCATCTCACGCTCTGCCTCTGTTTACACTTTCTTATTGAAGTAAAGCTTTCAATATTTCTTTCATGAAGTCTGTGGGTTGTAAGCTATCACATAAAATGTCATACACTCTCACTTGTGCCACAAATTTTGCTGATTTTCCTTCAGCAAGTTGATCTAGCATTTTGTTGTCTGTATGTACTACATATGATTACTGATCTATTATCAACATAAGAGTTTTTCTCTTTTAGATAAACTCTTTTCTCTCTAGAGGCTTTTTTCTTTGTTTTCAATTCTTGATGTCTTGCAATTTCGTAGATATGTCTAAATGTGGATTTAATTTTATGTTATTTGCTTTTTACTTAGTGTGCACTTCAGGTTAAGAACTCATGATCATAACACAGCTAAAAGCTCAGCTACTCTCTATTTAAATGTAAGGTGCTTATCATTCCCTGTATTCTTCTCTTCTTTTAAAACATGTATTGGATGTTGAGGTTATACTGGAGTCCCTCAAAGGTATCATGAATGCTTCTTTCATATTTTTAATCTGCTTACTGCTTACTGTGCACAACCATTTAGTCTTTTTCTGAAGGTTTAATATAATTTTAAATGTTCACGCATGGCATTCCTAGTCATTATTTCTTTATATATACTGATTTGTCAGGGCACCTGGGTAGCTCAGTCAGTTAAGCATCTGCTTCTGGCTCAGGTTGTGATCCCAGGGTCCTGGGATGGAGCCTCACGTCAGGCTCCCAGCTCAGTGGGGAGCCTGCTTCTCCCTCTCCTCCCAGCTTGTGCCCTCTCTCCCTATCTCTTTCTCTCTCAAATAAATAAATAAAACCTTAAGATAAAATAAATAAACTGTTTTGTCTTTATTTTCCTAATTGTACTTTATCACGATTTTGTTCTTTCAAAGATACAAAGAACTGCTATTGTCTGAGATACCTAAATATATTTTAAAGTTGTTCTTTTTTTTTAATTTTTATTTTAAATAAATATGTACCTGGACACATGACTATATGTTCTGGCTTCACTTATAAAGAGGTATGGTTAGGTGAATATGTTAATCAGGGTTCTCCACAGAAATGGGACAGATAGATCTATATAAATACATATTATATATAGATTATATATTTTATAGAGATCATATAGAGATTATATGTATTATATTATATGTGCATGTATAAAGGAGAAAGAGATTTATTATGAGATTATCCCAGATGATTATGGAGGTTGAGAAATCCAATGATTGGCTGTCCACAAGTTGGAGATGTGGTGAGTTAGTGATGTAATTTATTCCAAGTCTGAAGTCCTGAGAACCAGGGGAGTTGATGGTGTAGATCCAGTCCAATGACAGCAGAGATGAGATGAGGTGGCTCAGTTCAAGCAGTAAGGCTGGGGGGTGGGGCGAGAAAGGCATGAATTCCTCATTTCTCTACATTTGTTCTATTCAGGGCTCAAGCTTGAATGATGCACATGCACAGTGGGGAGGACAAACTACTTTACTGAGTCCACTGCTTCAAATGGTTGATTTCATCCAGAAACATCTTCACAGACACACCCAGAATTTAGTCTGAGCATCTCATGTCTAGTTAACATAAACTTTACCATCACAGGGATTAAGTGATTCATTGTTTCCGTCTTCATTATTCTGTTTCCTGTTCTATAGAACAAGGACTTCATGGAGTAGAACTATTTCACTAACTCTGGACAGCAAAAATATTTTAGGTGAAAAAGAAATATCAGGCTTGATCCACTATTACTCCATATTTCCCTAACTTGTATTTAAATGATACATATGTCTACATTCATATTTATGAACAATTATATCTACATTTTATTTCTCTTGATTATCAATTTGCAGTAATTATTTGATGAGTTACATTAGGAATGTTTATATAATAAGAGCCGGGACAATATAAGAGCTGGGACAATAAAAGGTTTGGAATACCATGTTTAAATTTAGGATTAGAAATGGATTTGAGTGTTTCAGAGAGACACCAGAAAGTATGAGAGAAGTGAAATGAACATATAAATGTCATTGTGCCAAAGGGCCAAAAGGAATGATGTGTTATATTTACCTTCATTGGAGACACCATGAATGATGGCAGACTTAATAACCAAAGGATAAAAGAAAAGAAAAAGTACAAGGAAGAGTAGGGAAAACAAGAAAAGGAAAGAAAGAATAAGATCAATCATCAATTAACAAGCAAGGAATTATGATAGGAATTTTCTTAGAAGGTAATGTGTGATAGGAATTTTGTTAGAGGTCAAATGATGGAATCACTAAATGGAATACATTTCAAATAAGGGGATTATTTCCATCTGTTTTAAGGAAAATTACTGGATGCAGCAGAGAAGAAATACAAGACAATCTTTCAAATATTGGCCTTAATATATTTATATTTACTTTGCAGAAAAATCATTAGTCCCAAGACTTCTGAGGTTGAGGAGATTGCAGTATATTCAGGAAAAAGAATTAGTATTTATAAAGGAAAAAAAAGTAAAAGGAATACTCTGGGAAATTTGAAATAATGACTGAAAAGCAACTCGGGAGTTTTAAGTTCAGATATCTTCATTGAAAACATTATGTATTATCACACTTTATATCTAAGGCAATATCCTTAAATACGGATTCATGATTGCAAGAAACCAGATTTCATTATGTTTTAACTTTTCCTTGTGTTTTTTTCTTTTCTATTATTTCATTTATTTGTTCTCATCCTTACCCTCCTCTCCTCCATTTCTTCCTTCTCTCCTCCTTCTCCTCAGAATATTGCTGTTACTCTTTTTATTTGAAATCACAACTCATTTGTTCCTCCTTATTAATTATTATTGCTTTCGGTTTTGTTTTTAGTTTAGTTTAGTTTTCCATATGAACGCCCTTTATTGTTTGCACAAGGGGGTGAAACAGGAGGAGACGAGACGGCTTTGGCTCCCGGGGGGCTCCAAAGACCTATTCTGTCGCTGTCTCCAAAAGACTTAATTATTTTAAATTATGTTTACATCCTTAACTTTCTGCTGGTAAAATCACACAAAATCCTTCTTACTGAAACAGATACCTTTATAAAGAAATAGTGAAAATATTTGGAAGCGACATGTCTTAGTGGAACAAAACACGAGCTTTGGAGTCATCTATTGCATCTATTGCATAGACTTACTTTTACTAGTCAGTGTAATTGGTCTTTTTACCTAATCTTGCAAACCTCATGAATAAAGTTTGTAAATAGAAGATGTTTTGCATGCTAGTTGGAGGACTGATAAGAATACATATAAATCATATATAACATTATGCCTATGCTTAATAAATAGCTTTTATGATATAATTAATCTTACCCTATGATATCACGTATCAAAATAAGGTCAGTATAGAGTACCAATTCCAAAAGTATTACTAAACAACAAAGGCAGAAAGTCATCTTAAAATACAATTAAGCAGGGAGCTACTTAAGGAAACATGTTGTGTTTTTAAAGATCTGAGAACTTCCTTAAAAAAATCAAATTTTCAGGAAATAAATGATTTCTGACTTTTAGTATGTTCATTATATACTCAATTACATAGTCTCAACAAGGTATAAATTTGTGGTTGTCTGTAGCTTGATTCTAAACTATTTAACAGCTTCTAATCTAATTCAGCCAATTATGCTGACCATGTACTATAAAACAATGCCAAGGGCTTTTCAATTATATATTGTATTACTTTGGGGACATAGATATATTACTTAGCAGAGATGAATATCATCTTTTGATGCATTTAATAAAATTATTTTACTCAAATAAAAACAAAATAAACTGGGCGCCTGGGTGGCTCAGTTGGTTAAGCGACTGCCTTCGGCTCAGGTCATGGTCCTGGAGTCCCGGGATCGAGTCCCGCATCGGGCTCCCTGCTCAGCAGGGAGTCTGCTTCTCCCTCTGACCCTCTCCCCTCTCATGCGCTCTCTCTATCTCATTCTCTCTCTCAAATAAAAAAAAAAATCTTTATAAAAAAAACAAAATAAACTAATTGCAAGAAAGAATATGTTATGTCAGTAACTTTTAAAATTAATTTACTCTTAAAAAACAGGAAATAGATTTCCTACATGGGAAAAGCTATTTTACAATTATGCAACTTCTCCAAGTATTAAAAATTGACAGGGGTAGATAAACATCTGGCAAAATGCCCAATGCTTCACACATTTCTACTTAGGCTGCACATCAGGTGGATTCATAAGATGTGAGTAAAATGTTTATGCTGGGATTCCAAACCACCGTGGCACTTAATAATTAATTGGTGTTGACGAAATGGGTGTCAGAAAAAACAAAAAACAGAACAAATACCTTTTGTTTGAATCCCAGTCCCATTAAATCTTTCAGACAGAACTTCTTTTGTGGAAAATTTATAAATCCCATGCTCCCCTTTAAAACAATAGGTGTCCCTTATATGAGCTATAAGTCTTGCATAATTGGGTGTTCTAGGATTCTTTCCAAATTTTCTACAACAGGCATAATTTTTCAAGAACACATCTGCCATAAGTAAAAAAAAAAAAATCCTGGAACAATTATCCATGAAAACTAAATCATGTGATTTATGTAAGTGAAAATAATTTGACTACAGAACCCTTGCTTTATGGTGTGTGTGGGGGGGTGTAGAGGGGGTGCCACTTTGCATTTTCATCCATTTTTTAAAAATAATGGGCATAAGGTAATTTCTATGAATCTTTTACTCATTTATTTATATTAATTTATCAATGATGGTATAAGGAGTTCTGAGTGTAAACTCTGAACAACATAAAGTCCCTATTCTTGATATAGTTTAAAATAACCACTCTTTAAAACCATAATTATACATAAAGCTGTAATGTAAACCATACAATTTCTATGACAAGTAGCACATATTTCATGATTACTGCATCATTCACTGCTTACTATTATCCTTCCATCATTATTA